AATTTTGTTCTACGTAAGTGAACCTTCAAAAATTAATCGTACATACAATATAAATTAAAATCTCAAATCAAAATTGTTGTTTTAAATCTCCTGATCAAAATATTCTTTTTTTTTTCTAAAGCAATTGTAAAAAAAATTTTGTCAGAAAAACTGACGAATAGTAAAACTATCTCTCTGATGATGAGTTGTCCAAATCCTTGTTCCTTGTAGCCTACACTATTTATTCTTATCAGTCCCTTAGGTAATCAACAATATTACAACAAATTGTTGCGAGCCTATAGTCTTTAATGATCTCCTTCAAATGCACGTATCGTTCAAATTATGTTTGCCTCTTCTCCTCTCGATAAACTGAATCTTTCGTTCTGGTCTGAACAGTGACTCTTGAGATATAAGTAGAAAAATATAACTTACAATATTTTACTGGATCAGCTTCTGTCAGATACACTAACTACACGAAACTCACAAACATTAACTTCTGCTGTTTCCTACCTCTGGGTATTCACCAGAGAACAACGACTGTTCGCCTTGTACCCTTCGAAACCAACTGATTATCTTTTTTTTACTCAAAAATCTAGCTAACTTTTATTATTACAGACCATCCCACTTTTTACAATCTCCTCCAATCAAAGCTCGTCATAAGTATCCCCATCTCTTCATTCAGATAATAAACAACAATTTTTACCTACAATTATAAATTTCTTAAAAACTGTTAACATGCTAATCGGTTTCTACAAATTCTTAAGAACTAACGGACAAATATATTTTCTAAATATTCTATTCTTCTTCTTCTTCAAGTGCCCTGTCCGTTGCGAACGTTGGCTATTAACATGGCAATTTTGATCTTGTTTGCGGCGCTTCTGAATAGTTCGACCGATGTGAGCCCGAACCACTTCCGCAGATTTTGGAGCCACGAGTGTCTTCTCCTGCCTGGCCCTCGCTTACTGTCTATTTTTCCCTGGACAATCAATTGTAGCAGACGGTACTTATCGTGTCTCAATATGTGGCCTAGATATTCAAGCTTTCTTTGTTTAATTGTATTCACGATTTCTTTCTCCTTTCCGATTCTTTGGAGTACCTCTATGTTGGTGACATGTTCGGTCCAGGATATACGAAGAATGCGTCGGTACACCCACATTTCGAATGCTTCTAGTTTTCTCGTTAGCGTCTCCGTCAGCGTCCAGGCCTCCACGCCATACAGCAAGATCGGAAAAATGTAGCATTTAACTATACGTAGTTTTAGGGGAAGAGACAAATCCTTGCTTATGAGGAGCTTTTTCATATTGCTAAATGCTGCTCTAGCTCGTTCTATTCTCGCCTTAATTTCTATGGTCTGTTCCCATTTTGCATTTACGTTGGTGCCAAGGTACACATAAGACTCTACATGGTCAATTAATATGTTACTTATCCGTAATTGTCGAGCAGGTTGTTGCTTTTTGCTTATCAGCATCCACTTTGTCTTCTTGAAGTTGAGGCTCAGGCCGTATTCCTCACTAACTGAATAAAGTCTTTCCATTACTTGTTGTAATTCGTCTATGGTACTGGCAAGGATCACCGTGTCGTCGGCGTATCTTATATTGTTCGTTAACTCGCCGTTTATTTTAATGCCCTCATTTGCATTTTCCATACATTTGTTAAATATTTCCTCGGAATACATATTGAATAGGAGTGGGGATAATATACACCCCTGACGGACACCTCTTTTGATCTGCACGCTTTCAGTGAGTTCGTTGCCAATTTTTGCTCTTGCTGTTTGACCCCAGTATAGGTTTGCCACAATTCGAATGTCCTTGTCGTCAATACCTGTCTTTCGCAGAATACCTATCAATTGTTCATGATTGACATTGTCAAATGCTTTTCTAAAATCTACAAAGCACAGATACACGTCTTTATCAACGTCTCTACACCGTTGTATAAGCACCTGGAGAGCGAAAATTGCTTCTCTAGTTCCAAGTGCTTTCCGAAAACCAAACTGCGATCTATCAATATTTGACTCACATTTATCATATATTCTTCTGTGAATGATCTTAGTGAACGCTTTAGTGACATGATTGATCAAGCTTATAAGCCGGTAGTCATCACAAATCTGGGCATTTGGTTTCTTCGGGATTGTAATAAATGTTGACTGTAGCCAGTTCTCCGGGATTTTACCGCTATTATATATGTTGTTAAAAAGTACAACTAGATTATCAAGGAACTGTTTGTCTGATTTACATAGGATCTTTAATATTTCGCAGGGTACATTGTCCGGACCTGCTGACTTATTGTTTTTTAGTGCTGCAATGGCATCTTCTATCTCCGATTTAAGAATTGAAGGTCCTGTTTCTCCTTCTCCATATAGGTGATCATCAGTCCTGTTAGATGCAAATAATTTTTCTATGTATGATTTCCATGTTTTTAAGATCGTTGATGGCTCCGAGATAAGATTTCCATCGCTATATTTTATGCTGTTGGGTGACTTATTGAATTTCCTCTTGTTTGTCATCGATTTTATTTTTTTGTGCATATTGTAACTGTCGTATTTTCGTTCGTATTGTTCTATTTCCCTGCATTCGTTGGAAAACCATTTTTCTTTGGCTTCTCGAATTTTCGTTCTTATGGTTTTGTGGATCTGCTGGTATTTTTCTGCATTTTTATTCTTGAATTTACGTCTTTCATCCATCATATCCATTATCTCATCAGACATCCATTCTTTCTTTTTTCGTCGGTCACGCTTTAATAGAGTCGCGCATGTTGTTTGGATTGCTTCCCTCGATTTATCCCATCTCTCTATTATGTCCGACGTGTTCTCGTTAATGTCCTTTATTTTCTTTCCTAGTTGTTCTCGTACTTTTATTTCGGTTTCTGGGTTAGTGAGTTTTTTAATATCGATTGTGTTTAAATTAGATCTTTTCTCGAGCCGTTTTACTCTCATGACCATTCTGCATACCAACACATTGTGGTCCGTATGAACATCGGCACCTGGGTACGTTTTTGATGATTTTATCATGTTTTTATATCTTGTTGGTACTGCTATATAATCTATCTGATTTCTAATGATGTTGTCAGGTGAGTCAGCGGGGGATTTCCATGTGTAAAGTCGACGTTTGGGGAGCTTGAAGAGTATATTACTTAACAGCAGGTTATATTCCTGGCAGAAGCATATAAGTCTATCACCTCTATCGTTTCTCTCCCCTAGGCCGAAGTTTCCCACGATCTCATTCACCTTGCCTCTGCCAACCTTTGCATTGAAATCTCCCATCACTATTGTTACTTCATGATTTTTTGTCATTTTTATCAGGCTTCCCAGTTGTTTGTAGAATTCTTCGCTGGTTGCCTCATCTTTATCTGCCGTTGGCGCGTATACCTGTAATATATTAATATCCACCGGTATTGCTCGAATTTGTAAAAGCATCATTCTATCTGAATGGGGAGTGAAAGATTTTACTGCCGAATTAATATGCGGGGCAACTACTATTGCAGTGCCGTTTCTGTGATGTTTTGTGTTGTTTCCAGCATAGTAAACTTTATATCCAAGTATATCGCATTGTCCAGAGTTTTGCCAGTGTGTTTCACTAATTCCCAATATATCCATTTTTAATCTTTTCATTTCTTTTACAATATTATGAGTTTTGCCGCTCTCGTACATACCTCGTACATTCCAAGTTCCAATCCTTAGGTGTTGAGAACTTGCTTCCTTTTTTAGGCCGTAGGGATTTCGCTGGCTGACGACCAGGGAGGCCCTACTATTTGTTTGTGTGCATCCTCCCCTGCCGGGTCTTGGGATCCGATCACCATGATCAGTAATGTTTTTGTTATCGTAGTGTATTGCCATGATAACTATTCTAGGAAATTCTTATGAGGTGGTTTTCCGTTGCCTTCCCCATCGCAGTACCACAACCATTCAAACTGCTCCAGTCATGCTTGTGGTAGTCCAGTTTCAAGCCGATCCAGGATCATTTCCTTTGCGCCTTGAGCTGGTACTGATGATCGCTGCTGCCCTTCATCAGGGTATCACTCGGTAATCACTCGATGAAATTTTCGCCATATCTGGCTACCCTCACTTAGTTTAGCCTGCAGACCAATGCAGTTGCCCGGGGTGTGGCACGTGGAGCCATAAGTGAGAGTTAGGTGTCTTATGAGGACCAGTTATCTAGAACCATCTCCCGTCTATGACGCTCGATGTGGTCGTTCCAATAAAAGGTACTACCTCTATAACACAACCCTACACCCCAAATATTCTATTGTATTGTCTTATTCACTGTACAAGTCCATTTGGAAAACCCGCTCGCATTGTTCATGGTTTCACTAATTACACTCACGTCACTTTATAAAGAAAATAATTTATGCATATCTTTATAATTTTGTTTACTACAGGTAATCTAGGATAATGAACTTTCATTTCTTCGAAATATCTTTAATAGTTTATTAGTCGAATTATTTGAATTATTATATTTTGTACATTGAAATATATTAAGCTTATTAAGCAAACCAGTATTATTTTCGATTTTACATATCATAACAATATCCATATATATATATATATATATATATATATATATATATATATATATATATATATATATATATATATATATATATATATAGCAAAACTGGTAAGATTATCGACCGAAACGTTAAAACCGCATACCCGATATTCCAACACAATAAAATATATATATATATATATATATATATATATATATATATATATATATAATTTTGTTTAACTTAAACGGAGACGTACCGACTTTAAAATATAATTTTAGATTAAGTCCATTACTGTAGTAAAAATAATGAATTATCCTATACCTAATAGTGCACGAACAGTTGTTTAATACACATATTAAAAAAACTAAGATTGAAAACGCTTAAATTGTATTTCTCTAATAATTGCCCACAGCCGCGGTCATTCATATAAAACTGAAGAACCGTAGGGAAACTCTGAGAAACATGTTTATGTCCAACATATTATCGTTACTTTGTACACAAAATGATCTAACCAAAACTACTTCCTATTTCAGCTGGGAGTGGTATTTCTCGAACAAGGAAAAGCCTCTCAAGCCTTGGCTTACCTGGACAAGGCCCTCGAATTCGACCCGGAGCACGAGCAAGCCCTTTTGAATTCAGCAATACTCCTGCAAGAATTCGGAAGGGCGGATCTACGGAAAATCGCCAGGGAGCGATTGCTCATTCTCCTAGGCAAAGATCCGAATAACGAGAGAGTGCACTTTAACCTCGGAATGTTAGCCATGGACGATAAAAATATTGAAGAGGCCGAGAACTGGTAAGTGCGTGATTACTTCGTTTTGATGAACATTACCTCTTACTAATAACTGAAATAACATTTACAGCTACTGTTTCAATAATACATCATTCATGTAAAAGGATATTATATAAAGTGTACCAATAATAGTGTTTAAAATAAATTATGTTGAATTCTACGTCATAATAGATATACATGTTATTTAATATATTTATATATTTAACACTAAAAATAATTTTAATCCTATAAATTAAAATATTAACACCGTAAACGCCACCATGTATAGTAAAAAAAGATGTGTTCCAAAACATTAAACACATTTTAAGTATTAGTTTATGCATTTTTAATAGTTATTCTTTAGTTTGAGTACAGAATCTCATATCTTTATTGCTTTTAACAATTATTTTAAGTGAGAAGCACGTGTGCAACTCGTGATCACAAATAACTTTTGGATTCCTGGAGCCATGTGAGGCACACTTGATTCTCGTATAAGACAAGAATAAACCTGTCGTAGTTTGTTAATTTTATACGTTACAGTCTCTAGACAAATGCATTTCGTGTTAATTATTAGTTAGTTATCGGTAGACGAGGTTGTAATGTGTCTTTGTCTTATCAGTTCCCAATATGTCATATAAAAACGAGCAGAAGAGTTTGCAAAAGCTAGTGGAAAAGTTTATTTTAGACGAAGACAGTGATGACAGTGTTCGGGTTAAAAATTTTGAATTAGATAGTGATCACTAAATCTTAGTTTTTTATCACATCGTATCGTATAAGTCAAAAAATCCATTGTAGGAAAGCAAAGTAAAGTGTCTTATGTCGCGAAATCTTTTTGAATTATTTCTTCTTCTTTAAGTGCCGTCTCCGCGACGGAGGTTGGCAATCATCATGGCTATTGTGACGTTCGAGGCAGCTACTCTGAACAATTGCCTTGAGCTGCAACCAAACAACTCTCTCAGGTTCTTCAACCAGAAAACGCGTCTTCTTCCTACGCTTCTCCTACCCTTTTTTTTCTTGAATTATGAGTCTTAAGATGTTGAATCTTTCGCCTCTCATTACATGTCCGAGATATTGCAATTTCCTTTCATTTTATTGTATTTTCCATTTTCTTCTCTCTGCATATTCTCCTTCACACTTCTGCATTCGTGACTCTATCTAACCATGGAATCCTTAACAATCTTCTAAATGTCCACATTTCAAACGCGTTAAGTCGATTTATTGTATTCCGGTTTAATGTCCATGATTCAGCTCCATAGTATACACTGTGTACATAGCATTTAATTAGCCTTATTCTGAGGGCCAATGTCAGATCTTTGCTGCATAAAATCTTTTTATTTTCACAAAGTTGGCACGAGCTTTTTCAATTCTTATCGACTCTTATCTCTGCAGTATAATCGTTATTTTCTGTGATTATCGTTCCCAAGTAAGTATATCTTTTTACTCTCTCAATCTACTGGCCGCCTACCGTTAATATTTTATTTGTAGATATTGTTGTTTTTACTAATTTTCATGAATTTGTTTTTTTTTATGTTAAGAGAGAGTTCGTATTCTCCACTATATCTTAATATTTTGTTCATTATTATTTCTAAGTCTTCCAAGTTGTCGGCTATTCTGACAATATCGTCGGCATACCTAATGTTGTTAATTAAACTTCCGTTCACTTTTATGCCGACTGTCTCGTTTACCAAAGCTTCTTGTATGATTTCTTCAGAATACGCATTAAACCATAGCGGAACTTTTATTCCACTTTTCACATTTTATCGTTGATAGTTTGAATTATTACTTGCCAGTTTACACTTTAGTGACAACGAAAATAGTGACAAAGAACTTCGACTGTATAAACTATCACCCCTATTGGAGAAGTTAATATTAAATTTTCAAAGAGTGGTACTGACGGAAGAAGAACTCTGCATTGATGAAACTGTAGTTCCGTTTAGTGGAAGACTGTCATTTAGGCAGTATATTAAAAACAAGAGACATAGTTCGTGGTGAAAATATACGAACTCTGCTTTGATGGTGGTCTTATGATCTACAAATTTATTGTGGTAATGATTAAACTGAAAATATGTCAGTTCCAGATAGTGTTGTGTTTCGTTCAGCTAATAACTAATTAGATGTTGGACGTACTACACACACAGACAATTTTTATACTAGCGTTACATTAGCACATAGGTTGCTAAACAAAAATACAAATTTGTTGAGAACTTTGAGGCAAAACAGAAAACTTAATCCGAAATAAACGACAGGTGCAAAATTAAAAAAAGGGAAGATTAGTGGGAAGTAGAGTAACACATGTATAGTAGTAACTTAGTGGAATGACAAACGCGAAGTACTTATGCTGAGTACAAAACATACTGCTGAAATGGTAGACGTCCATCAAAGTGGAGGAATAGTTGAAAAGCCAGTTTCTGTTTTTGACTACAATAAGAGCAAAGAACTTATAGATATATCCCACCAACTAAAGTCTTAATCTGTAGCATTACGAAAATCAGTCAAATGGTATTGTAAAATAGCAATTGAGCTCCTTCTAGGGTCAGTTATTGTCAACGCCTGTATAATTTACCAAAAAGTAACCAACAATAACACATCCATCACATCTTTTAAGGAATAGTTGGTTTGTCAACTGGTAGATTTATCTAGAATAACTAATCCAGAGCAACATATGCCATATGTTCGTGAAGGTCACCATATAGAGGAAATGCAAAGTTTAGCCAGAAGATGTGTCACATGTTACGCAAAAAATTCAGCAGATAATGGTAGAAAATTAGAACAGACTTAAACTCAATTTTCTCGTTTCAGGTGCATTCAGTGCACTAAATTCTCTTGTATCACGTGCTTTTGCGACGTTCATTCATGTAATCTGTAGACATCTGTATATACACAAGTTATATTTATTCATTTATTTCTTAATTAGAAACATGTATTGCTAATTTTAAAGGACATTTACTGATCTTTTGTAGTAAAAAACAGTTGTTTACGTTATATATAAATAAAACTTGGTTTCAAGCTTTATAATAACATATTGTTTTATTGCTAGATACTTATATCCTAAAAATACAGGCTAAATATATGAAAGAGCTCATCGGGCTACTGAGAAACTTTATTACAAATAAATGAATAAATATTGTGAAGCACGATTGTATCACGCAGCCTGAAATACACTAAGGATATAAGATACAACGGTGCTTCTCGTGGCGTTAGAAAATTCAATGTGTGAGATGCACAGTTGCTTTTCGTGGCATTTAACGTATTAAATTGGGAGCTAGTCTTAATAGAGTCACGAAGGAAATCCTTCCAATGAAAGTATAGAGTGCTACGTGTTCCTTTAAAAATATCTCAGTTCAAAATTTTGTTTTTGTATTAGTGGAAAGACAGTTAGGCTGTAGTGGTAAACATTTTGTCATTTTCTTTGTATGTATGTATAGCGTTAACAGGCCTTTTAGACCCTTTGCTATGTAGGTTAAAGTGTGACAGTTCTTCTTGTATTTCTCAGTACTGTAAGTTAAGTTAAGCAGTTTTTTGAAGTAAGCAGATATTAATGAATGTCTCTAAAATGTTTAAATATTAAAAGTAAGTTAATATGTTTAATATTGGCATACTTTTAACAATCATTGAATATTAAATTTAAATGTAACAATCTGACTAATTGAAATAAATGTTTTATTATAACTAACTTAATTTAGTCAAAATTACAGATCAAACTGGAGTGATTATGTGGTAAATAAATATGTACAGTTGTAATCAAAATCTATAATAAAGTTACAAACATTTTTTGGAAACCTATTGTTAGTGCGAGTGAGCTATCTGTCATGATATGTGTAAATATTTTATTTTAGTTCTAATATGTTAGTATGGAAACTAGAGCAATAAGTGGATAAATTGTTGATGTTAAATTAATCGACAAATTCAAAAAATTGACTGAATTATTACGAAGTCAATAATTAGTTGGTAATTCTCATAATACTATGACTTCCAAGATAAAACCACTTCACATTCAAAGTTTGTACGTCGATGCGCATCACGTCAATTTGTGATAAAAGTTTATCTTTAATTTAATATTCTGAAATATATTTTATCAAAAATGCACACATTTATTTGTCAACGTACTAGATAAACAATAAAACAATACTAAATCTGAAAAAACTCCATGCAAAATATAACATTTCTTGACGTCACACGTGCAAAAGAGATAGACTGATCGCGTGTGCGTGGGTTTATCTTTATTTCATAGTATCATGGGTAATTCTAATATCTGACAGTTGAAACCGGAAATTGGTCAAAATAGCAGGTAAACGATTCTCTATTTAAACCGGTGTAAAGCAAATTTATTCTTATTTCAAGTTTTTAATGTACCATGAAAAGATTTATCCTCACACCGACAAGAGCATTGGTAAGTTTGTATAATAGTTTTTTGTAACACTTAAGATTTTCAAATTTATAGCCGTTTATGGTTAAAAGTTTAGTATTTCTATTTGACAACGTAAAATTTGCATATGATTAAGAATTATAAAGATTGATTTAATTAATAATACTAGTCTGAACGATTCTTCCATGTTGTGTTGGAAATTTTCAAACCACGTGTTGACTTGAAATTAAATTTTGTAAAATGAGTACATTTCTGAAAACCAGATATAATAGCTAATTTTTTGATTTAAATAAGTTAAGGTACCATACCAGTTTAATACTGATATTTAATATAGTTTTAGGAAAAATATGGATTTTGGTAATATATTAAAGAAAATTCTATGAAGAAGAAATTTCTTGGGGTCCAGATTGGAAAATGTTTTATGTTGAAGATTCAATAATCTAAGAAGTGTATCAAATATATTAATATTTTGTATTGGTTGTATATGGGATTCTGGAATAAAATGTTAATTATTCATAATGTTGAAGTTACTTCAGAATACTGTGTGATAATAATGCATACTATATGGAAACCTAATATGATAAATTTATTTTGGGGAATCATTTCTATATGTTTTTAGAAAAACCACAGACATGTAATATTGGCATAATTACTGTAA